CAGACTTTGGGCCGCCAATCTAACGTTGATTTCGCATGACTGAAGCCTTCTTTGGGCCACTGAAGGAGCCCTCGGAAAATCAGGTGGAATAACTTTTGCATTATTGAAGTCAGATTATCTGATTTATAATATATAACTGATAATATATATCATTATCATTATTATTTATTATTATCATTGTTATTATCGTTTTTTTATTGCCATTATTTTCACTATAATCATTATTGTTACTATTATCATTATCATTATTATTATTTACAATAATAATAATAACAATGATAATAATGATAATAATAATAATAAGGATAATAACAATAATAATGACAATAAAAATAATGATGATGATAATGATACTGATAATGACGACAAAAACAATGATATATCTGATTATAATCATATATATATATATATATATATATATATATATATATATATATATATATATATATATATACATATATATATATATATATATATATATATATATATATGTAATATCTTATTTATATAAACAATGATAATAATGATAATAATAATTATGATAATAAAGATAATAACAATAATAATGACAATAAAAATAATGATGATGATAATGATACTGATAATGATGATAAAACAATGATATATCTGATTATAAACATATCATATATATATAAACATATAATAATATTTGATCATAATAATCTGATTTCGCATGACTGAGGACTTCCTTGGGACACTGACCGAACCTTCAACAAATTAGGTGGAATAACTTTCGCATTATTGAACATCTTAAGAGTCAGATTATCTTGGAAATATTAACTATTAGGGGTTTTGGGACAAGACAAACTGATTTTTAACAGACTATGGAATATCGCATATTAGTTACACAAGGGCAGTTAAGATATAATTATAACAACACAACATTTTTTCTAGTAATTTCCGATGTCTATTGCAACTTTTACATACCGTATCGTAACACATCATCGCATATTTCAAAATGAATGAATGAATTAATGATTTCGAAAATACACACAAAAGAATATAAGTAGAGAAAAAAACACGTGTATATATATAATTTTTTTACCCGCAATAATTGTTAGAATTATCTCTACAATTATTGTTATCATTTTCACTCAAGTTCACTGAAAGACAGTCATATTCAGATCTGCCCTGAAGATGGCATCCGAGGAAACTTCAGTAAACTTCTTTTTGTATAGCGAGTTATTCTGCCATTTATCACAACAATAGTATTTTGTATTCTTCAAGGCCTCTGCCAAAATGGGTTATGGTAGTTAGGCCTACATAATGCACCCAACCTAAGTCGCGTGTACCTGGTATTGTAACGGAAGGTACTCACGGTCGATACCATGGCTATTCTGGTCAGTACACGCAGGCAGTAAGTACAGACTATTCTGCTCATGAACGTGTATGTCTACTGTAAAATTAGTTTTTTCTCACGCTTATTTTCAACATAAAATCTTTACGAATCTATATACTCGTTTTGATTTTCTTAGAATTCTATAGCAATCAACTTTGCGATAGAATATATAGTAGATGGCATCAGAAAAGGTGGATGTGAGACGCTATTAAGATTTTATGAGCTCACACTGCATTTTTCGAAACTGTACCTTTTTTTCCAACTGTAGAACGATTCAGAAGGGAAGAGAGACGAAGACAACGAAAGTGTATATATTGCTTAAGCTATAAAGTGAAGAAATAGCAGTCCGATAAGATGTGTCAACGATATGATAATTTACTCAATCGTTAAACTAAAAATTAATGTCAAGGTATTTTTACACCATTCCATCTTGTTGTTTATAACCATTCCATCTTATTGAAAATCCTAGTTGGCAACTTCTGAGCTAAGCCCCGCCTCATCTTCCTTTTTTCATTGCAAACATTTAATTTTTTCCCTTGGTTTTGTTTTCGATCATCTTTTGAACATTGTTATTACTGAACTATTTTCAAAGAAAAAGCATTGAAAACACTTACCATAAAATATCATTCACTTTATCATTTCATGTTCGGGTCAAGAAAAGGGGCGGAGTTAGTGACGTCACCACGTTTAGATAATGAGAGTTTGCTATGAGGTATCAGATATAGCTAGATACATAATTATTTGTCTGATTTACTCGCTATTGTTATATTTATCAAAAGTAAAACCAAAGTTCCCTTCCTTTATTTACGATAACGAAGAGTCATTTACCATTAACTGCCGTCAGAATATACTAAGGAAAACATCAATTTCATTTTTGGGTTCCATAGGCTAAATGAAAGTGGAGGTCCCGGTTATATATTCTTTGGTCGAGAGTAACAAAAGCTCACAGATACGTACATACTTCAAATGCTGGTGGTAAATAATCACTGTATCTTAATTAGAACTCACCTAGCTGTAAACATGTTTCGTAATGACTTTTTATAAATCATATTCCGTCAGTTTCACCTCAAATATGTGACGTCATGCTGGTATCATGTTTTCGTTACATGAATGGATCCCATTTCCAAGTCTAGGAATTTT